ATTGTACAGGTGTCAGCTCGTCAGCCTTCCCAAGGTGATCGGGTTTTGCTTGGGTGATTTGAAATGGTTTTATTGGAAAGCTTAACTTACTGCTTCTTGCCTCCTTATTTCTCTTAGGTCAGCTTCCTATAAAGTAGCTAACTTTCTTTCTAGCTCTGGAAAATCAAGTTTGTTAGGTGTGTTGCCTTGCCATCGTGCCATTCTTGTAGTGCTCTTCAAAGCTGGCAGGATTCCTGTTGCGAGCACGAGCACCTCAACCCAATGCCTGGTTTCTAATCCTTTGAGGTAACCCATTCAGGAAGTAGTGATTAATGCAGAAGGGCTGTTCATTAAAATAAGCAGACAAAAAAATCCTTTGGGTTGGTTTTTTTTTAACCTGGCTACACCATGATTTTCACTTTTTGGTTTGTTGTATAGTCACTAACAGAATCTCCAGTTTAGCTGGGAGCTGCATTCCTAACAGTGGTGGATTGACAGAAAAATCCTTCCTTTATTAGAATGAACAACCCTTGCTTTCATTTTCAGTAGGACACCTTCTAACTTGTACTAATAATCAGTAAACTAACCCACTCTTTTGGTAGAAGAATTGTTACTGTCTTAAGTTTTAGTCACAGTAACTGGGTTTGTTTTATAATGTGACAAACTTGGCAAAAGGAAGCCCTAACCCTGCAATATTGAACTCTTACATAGGGTGCCAGCAGGATGAGTGCCCTGCAGCAGTGGAGGAGGATCCTGCAGTGTCCAACTTTCTCCACAGAGCACGGGCAGAGCGAGTGCCCCACGGCAGCAGTGGTGGCGGATCCTGGTGTCCTGTGGTGATGTGCTCCTAACCTGCAGTGTCCAATTCTTTCCATAGAGCACAGGCAGGATGAGTTCCCTGCAGCAGTGGCAGAGGATCCTGGTGTCCTGTGGTGATGTGCTCCTAACCTGCAGTGTCCAATTCTTTCCATAGAGCACAGGCAGGATGAGTTCCCTGCAGCAGTGGAGGAGGATCCTGGTGTCCTGTAAGGACACTCCTAACCTGCAATGTCCAACTCTCTCCACAGAGCACAGGCAGGATGAGTGCCCTGCAGCAGTGGCAGAGGATCCTGGTGTCCTGTAGTGATGTGCTCCTAACCTGCAATGTCCAACTCTCTTCACAGAGCACAGGCAGGATGAGTTCCCTGCAGCAGTGGCAGAGGATCCTGGTGTCCTGTAGTGATGTGCTCCTAACTTGCAGTGTCCAACTCTCTCCACAGAGCACGGGCAGAGCGAGTGCCCTGCGGCAGCAGTGGCGGCGGATCCTGGTGTCCTGCAGGGACACGCTGCGCACACAGCTGGGGCGGCTGCTGGTGCACACCTTGGCTCCGGCCCGGCCGCTGCGGGACAGGAAGCAGGCGCTGGAGGTGGTGCCTGAGCTGAACCAGCAGGAGATCCTGCGGGACTGTCTGAGCCCAACTTTGCAAGTAAGCTCAGGGGTGTTTGAGAGAACTTCACAAAACTTGTGCTCATTTTTGACTAACGAAAGGTGGTGTTAGTTTTAACTTGAAGACTGTTTCTGAGGATGCTGGAAGTTAAGGTACCCTGAAAAAGCAGATTAACAAAGGACTTAATTACCCTTGCCTTGAGCTGGAACTGCAGACGTCCTGAAACTTGTAAGAACTCATGGCCACCAGATTTGAAGCGGCAGGCAGTCCTCACTCAGCAGTGCTCTATCTTTTCTTATTTAGCCTCTATTAGTTCTTAAAGTGAGATTGTATATTCTGTGTTCTTACCTCAGAATAGCTGAACAGTTTCTCCTGCTTTTCTGGGTTAGTCAGGAAGCAGCTTTTTTGGCTGTATTCTGTTAGAGCAAGCTGCAGAGAGAGCATTTCCTAGAGCCGTGGTCAGGAGTCGGATAGGAACGTGGGTGTTTGAGGTCTTCAGGAGCTGCAAGAGTGAAATAAATGCTGTAAGACATGACACAGCATGAGTCACTGTGCTAAGGACATCAAGTACTCATTGGGTGAGCCTGTGACACCTGCACATTTCTGATCACATACACATTACTCAGTTAAATTAACACCGAGCTGATATCCTGGCAGTGGCTTCTTTGGGGGTGTCCTGTTGAGTGCATTTATGGCCTGTGTCTGCTTACCTTCGTTACCTGTCAGCTCTGATCTGACGAACCAAACACGGTGAAGCATTCTTGGCAGGCAGAACTGGGGAGTGTCTGGCCCATGTTTCCTGAAGTGTAAACAAGGCTGCTTGGGTACTTGGACGGGAAGCTTAGCTTTCCTGCAAGCCGTTTAAGAAGTCACAAGGTGCTGGGGGAAGTTTTGCCATGTGGAGGATTAAATTTGGCGTATTCTTTCTAGTTATATATAAGTTTGTCTTCCAACATAAAAGGAACGATTCTCTTTAAATCACGGAAGTGTTAGCAGAAGAAACCTGTCCAGGCTGACTAGAAAAGGGAAAATCAAGTTGGAGCTAAAAACTGCTGGGTGTTGTATTGTGTGGTCATTCTGATTTCCACATCTTTTCTCTTCATCTTCTAGCATGGACCCAAATTAGTGCTGTATTTATGTGAGCTAATGCACAATCACGGTGATGAAATGACCAAGGAAGAGCAGAGAGCAGCAGCAGACTTGATGAACACGTTAAAATGCTGTGGCTATAAATGCATTCCCCTCAGCCCGCGACCAAAACCAGACTTAATAAAAGCTCTGAAAGAGGTTTGTGAATAAAAACTTGGCTTGCAAAAGTGGGTGTATTTGAGGCAGTCGGCCGTTGTATGGGGTCAGAGTTTCACTGCAGACAATGGTGGTGTTTGCTGGGTGCATGGCTTTTGCTTTTGGGGACTCTCTCTGGATGTGGAGTATTTCTGTCAACACTCAGTGCTGCGCAGCAAGCTCTCATGTTAATGCCTCTTGGTTAAGCATCTTAATCCAGGCAAGAGTGAGAGCTCATCATAAGCTCCTTGTATCATTGTCAGGAAAAAGTAACTTTGCAAGTTCTTTGCAAAAAAAAAACTATAAAATCATATCTAAATATAATAAAAGTGCAGTAACTGACATGAAGTCTTGATGTTTTTACATGTTGCAAAGATCTCAGTTGAGCAGTTTTGTCAGCCTTCCCTTTTTAAAATTGTCAAAGCCTTCAGTCTCTGCTGTCTTATTTCGTCCACCTGAAAAAAAGAAAGAAAAGAAAAGTAATGTGTGACACTTCCCTTCAGGACCAGAAGAAATACGAGCTGGAAGAAGGCGTGAACAAAGCTGCCTGGGAGAAGACGATGGCCAACAACCGCCAGAAGTAAGTGCTGCCCTGCAGGGCCTATGAGAGCTCTGTACACGTCCCCTGCTCAGCACACCCCGCTGCAAAGCTGCCTGTGTGGCTGTCACACCTCTCCTGGTGCTGTGGTCACGTAAAGCAGACGGCCTTGCAGCTAACCCTGGTCTTCAGTGAGTGAAATGTCACTATATTCAGCATGGTGTTGGAACACTTCTGTGAGCTATATAAGGTGCTGCTGTTTGGTGTAATGGAAATTTCAGTAGCTCGTGGTACACGGAGAGGTTTTGTCTATTAATTTACAGTTCAGGCTTTGCCATAAGAATGGGATCTGAGGCGCACACGCAACGTGCTTCAAGGTGGGCACCTGCTGTGAAGTAGCTGCGAAGAATCCCAGAATATGAGGAGTTGGCAGGGCCCTGGAAAGCTCCCCCAGTGCAACCCCTGCCAGAGCAGGATCACCAGAGCAGTCACACAGGAACACGGCCAGGGCTTTGGGTGTCTCCACACAAGGAGACTCCACAACCTCTCTGGGCAGCCTGGGCCATGCTCCAGAACCCTCACACTCACAAACTTTGGCCTCATGTTCACAAGGTCAGCTTGGTCACGCCTGCCCAGATCAGCACCAAGACTTGACTGTGTTCAATCACTTGGAGATCTGAGCAGTGGTGAATTACTGAGCTTACTTCAGGTTTTTATTAATGAGTATACATTAATTAGTAAAGCATGCTAATATCTAACCATTGACCTGATCATGACAGTGACATTGGCTAAGTGGCTCTGCATCTGCTGTGACAAGAACCATGGATGTCTACTGCCAGACCAGTTGTTTTTATCAGGCTTTTTGTGCCTTGCCTTCCCTTTCCAGTGTGTTTATTTGACGTTTTGAACCGCATCTCTTTTTCCCCAGTCTCTTCCAACGTCTGGAGACAAAATCTAAAGACATTTCTAAAATAGCTGGAGACATCACACAGGCTGTGTCTCTGTCCCAAGGGATGGAGAGGAAGAAGGTGATCCAGCACATCAGGGGGATGTACAAGGCAGAGCTGAGCGCCAGCCGGCACTGGCAGGAGCTTGTCCAGCAGCTCACGCACGACCGGTGAGTTGTGTGTGCCTAACTGCAGTGGGGTTGTGCTTGCTCACCTACAACGGGTGAGTTGTGTGTGCCTAACTGCAGTGGGGTTGTGCTTGCTCACCTACGACCGGTGAGCTGTGTGTGCCTAACTGCACTGGGGTTACTCTTGCTCACCTACGACCGGTGAGCTGTGTGTGCCTAACTGCACTGGGGTTACTCTTGCTCACCTACGACCGGTGAGCTGTGTGTGCCTAATTGCACTGGGGTTGTGCTTGCTCACCCACGATGGGCACCTTATGCTTGCTTACCTGCAATGAGTGGGTTGTGCTCTCACCTTGGTATAGAAGCAGGGGATGCTCAATTCCTGGTGTGCACTTCTTATTTGACTTAGAGGCACGTGGGATGTAGATGATATTAAAATAAGAGTTACTTTTCCTGGAAAAATTAAAAAAAAAAATCAGATACCAAAAAATCTGATGGTTAAATCCTTGTAAAATAGTTGGTTTATTCTCCTGTTTCTTAGGGTGAGTAGCCAAGTGGTATGTCCATGTCATTTAGGTTTTTTCAAATATGTTCTGCTGTGCCTAATAGAATAAAGATTGTCGTAAAATCTTCGTATTCTTGCATTACACTGGTGTGGGGAAAAAACCAAACAACAAAACAAAACCCAAACGTTTTTGGGTAATGTTATTCACATTAGCACCCAGATCCTGTGCTCACCAATCTGCATAGAGCAAAAGTTACCAAGTCTTGACGAGAAACCACGCGGTGTATTTTCACCCCTGCAGAACTTGTTGTGTCATGTGCAGCAGCAGACTTTCCAAAATGGAGTATTGGGTGCACCGTATTGCTGTTTTCATCAGAATTGGTAACTTCAGGAGCAGTCAGTGGGATAGCTCATGAAAATAAACTACAGCATTGGGCCTTTTGATAGGTTTTCAGTAATAGTTGCCCAGTGCACTACTGTGAAACTTTTGCCTTTCTACTATTTAAAGAAAAACAGAGGGAATAAGCGTATATACCGCCCCTGCTGCCAAACTCTAACGCATTTTGGGTATTTCAGAGCGCTCTGGTACGACCCAGTCTACTACCCAACGTCTTGGCAACTGGATCCAACAGAGGGCCCCAACAGAGAGAGGCGCCGGCTGCAGAGGTGCTACCTGACCATCCCCAACAAGTACCTGCTCCCGGACAGGCAGAAACAGGAGGGTAATGGCCCACTCCTACAAGTGCTATATCTGAATGGTAACCACTATTTGTGACTGTAATCGTTATTTGTGGGTGTTTTATAGGTGTGATAAAAACTCCCTTGTCTTACCTGTTTGAAGACAAAACACATTCCTCCCACTCCTCTACTGTAAAGGACAAAGCTGCAAGTGAACTTATAAGGTAAGGTTTGGGTAGCGTTTACCTCCCTTTCCTGCCGTCTCCCATTCTAAAGAAATGGTTCTCCTCACTTTTTTGTCTAAATAAACGTTAAAAAACCTCAAAAAACCACAAATCAAGTGAGAGAAGGTAGGGTTTTTGCTATGCTCACATGGAAAAGATCAGAGCTACCAACACACGCATTTTTTGAGTCTTACAGTAGTCTATCTCCATGACTTCAAGAATCAGTAAAAGCAAATACCACCTGGTGTGATATGGGGATGGGGCTTCTGTGGGGCATCCTGATGGGATTTCTGTCCTTGTTTGTCACTCATATCTAAGACAGGCAGTGCTGCTAGATCTGGTCGGTCTTTCCATCACTGTTCAAAACCAAATTGTGTTTTCATCCTCTCTGCTTTTACCGCTGTGTTACTTAACTCTGCGGTTGTGCCAATGTACCACCTATTGCCAGCACTAACACTGCCTAAAGTAACTGCAGAAAACACACAAAGTAAATACAGATACCTCAGTGTGCAAGTCTAGGAAGCTGAGGTTCTTCCCCTCCCCGGGATTTGAGCCATTTCAGTCATGGTGCTGTAAGGTCTTTTCCTCAGCTGGAGCCTTTGAGGCTGTTGTTTTAGGTGCTGCAATTACATGAACCCGTAAGCAGTAATGCCCTTTGGAATATTTCAGAGTTAATCGGAGATGTATAAGTGTAGCACCTTCTAGAGAGACTGCGGGGGAACTGCTGCTAGGTAAGCACAGTTTACAGTCACCACTTCACAGAATGGCTCGGTTGGAAAAGCCCTCTGAGATCATCACGTCCAACCGCTCCTGTCTACCCCCTAAACCATATCCCTAAGTACCTCGTCTACCCGCTCTTTAAACACATCCAGGGATGGGGACTCCACCACCTCCCTGGGCCACCTGTGCCAGCTTCTGACGACCCTCTCAGGAAAGAACTTCCTCCTTATCTCTGACCTGAACCTCCCTTGGCACAGCTTGGTGCCGTTTCCCCTTGTTCTATCCCCCATCACCTGGGAGAAGAGCCCAGCACCCACCTCTCCACAAGCTCCCTTGAGGCAGTTGTAGGTGGTGCTGAGGTCTCCCCTCAGCCTTCTCTTCTCCAGGCTAAACAAGCCCAGTTCCCTCAGCCGCTCCTCATCAGGCTTGTTCTCCAGAGCCCTCCCCATCCTTGTGGCTCTGCTCTGAACACGCTCCAGATCAACTTCTTTTAATAAGATGCTGCTGTATATGCAAACTTGTCCGACTTCTTGTGGATTTTATACAGTATAGATCAGTTTTGCCTTTCTTCCCCACTGTTTGCATGAATGCCATTAGAACTGGAGCCAGGTTTTAAAGTTGCAGACCGCTTGCTAAAAGATAAGGAATAACAAATTCTATTTGTAACGTACTGCCTTGCCCAGGTACTGTTCTTAACTCCTGGGCACTGTTTGTGTAGCACTGAGGTGCGTTAATAAACAGGAATATAAACACGTGCCTTTTTGCGACTATTTTTTCCTGCAGGCAAATGTGGCATGTATTTTGTTGAAGACAACGCTTCAGACACAATTGAGAATTCAGTAAGTATTAGAGTATATTGTCCAGCTTTGATTTTTTTCCAGCCTATCCTTCTGGTACACAAAGGCTCTGACGTATTATTTCAGCTTATACATCCAGCAGACATTTAAAAGAAATAATGGAGATATGGGTTATTCTGCTGGAAGTGTTAAGCTGTGTTCAGGAAGCTCCTCCAGTGTCCGCTGAGCACGGAGCTGCTGTGGTTTGTGATGTCTCCAGCTCTTTTGTTGAGCTGTCCTTCGTGGAGCTGGGGTTTACAGCAAAGCTTTGCTGGCTCTGGTGGCTGTCCCGTGCTTCAGCTGAAGAGCAGTGCACGCAGGAGGGCCCTGGAGCAGCTGAGGAGCGTGGGGTTCTGCCCTCTGCAGAGGGTGGGAAACATCTACAGAGATGTCTTGGAGCACCGCAGCACAACGTGTGTCCTGTGATACACTCACGATTGGGAACTGGCCACATGGAAGGGCTTCTTGTTTGGGAAATCCTCTGTGTAAAGTAACTTTTTCAACTGCAAATCCTGCAGAGTTTTCATGGAGAGACTGAACCAGCGTCGTTTTCGTGGACCTATGAGGAGATCAAGGAGGTTCATAAGCGCTGGTGGCAGCTGAGAGACAACGCTGTGGAAATATTCCTGACAAATGGCAGGACTTTGCTCTTGGCTTTCGATAACACAAAGGTAACGCGGCACTGGTGCGTGGTAACGTATCAAGGTGTTTTTGCTGTATTTCATAACGTGCACTCGTGCATTAGTTTTTAAGGAGACCTGGTGCGTGGACCAATTAAATTCTGCCTAATACCTTTGAAAAACCTTTGCTCAGCCAGACTAGCAAACAGCATCATGTTGTAAAACACATCTCTGGTGTAGGGAGACATTAAAGAATCTTAGTCGTGCTGAATGTTATTCCAGTGCAGCAGGTACCTGGAAATTTGTACAAGTAAGTGTTGGTAGTTTGAAGCTTTTTCAATTACGAGATTAAATCTGTGGTGCTTTCTTCTAGGTCCGTGACGATGTGTACCACAACATCTTAACTAACAACTTGCCAAACCTGCTGGAGTACGGGAACATCACTGCCCTGACCCACCTCTGGTGCACAGGGCAGATCACCAACTTCGAGTACCTGACGCACCTGAACAAACACGCGGGCCGTTCCTTCAACGATCTCATGCAGTATCCCGTGTTTCCCTTCATACTTTCTGACTACACCAGTGAAACGCTGGACCTAAATGATCCGTCGGTTTATAGGTAATAAGAGATGTTCAGAACTGGCTATTTCCAAGTGCTCGAACTGATCGTGCAGTGGAGCTTTTTAACTTTGTTGTACTCAACTGCACCCGGAAATTAATGAACTGCTCAGGGATAAGCCTCATCCGTCATAACTTGGGCTTTTTACAATCAGTGGCTGCTGAATTCACCTCAGATATTTCAACAAAATGCCTAGTATTTTAAGTGTATATTCAAAGGATGCTATGAATTTGGCTTATTTACTGTCTTAATAGGGTATGGACAGACCACAGATTTAAATACAAGCTGTACGCTTAAATTCATGTGATTAAAGACTTCCAGGCCGATTAGCAAAAATACAATATTACGTCCTTTTCTATTTTAAGATCTTTGGCCAGTTACAAAACCCTACTGTCTTCACAGTGAACAGATCCCAGTGAACTGTCCCACCCTATAAATTCCTGATACCACTTGTGCACAACATCTCTGCCTTTATACGATGCCCCTGGTTTGACACAGACGCTTTGCATTTGTCCGTGTCACTGCTGTGGGGCAGCCCTTGGTCTGAGCTTGCCTTCAGCACTGACCAAAAGGGGCTTTTTTATTTGCTGAACTGTCTCGTAAAGCGCTGTTAAGCGTTGCTTGTCCTTTTCGTGATATTAAAGGCGTTAATAATGCGTTATTAAATGGTGTGAATCGGCATCTTTATAAAAATGACAAGATGTCAGTACTACCTCTGTTACAGAAATCTGGTCAAACCAATAGCTGTGCAGTCTAAAGAAAAAGAGGATCGCTATGTGGACACTTACAAGGTAATTTGGATAAAGTTTGCTTCTTGCCCTTATCCTGTGTATAAACAAGAGGGTTTAAATGTTTTAATATATATTGATGGGGGGAAAGAAACCATAAATGCAGTATTTTACGTCTACGACTTCTCATTTCCACTATGCTGTGTCCTGGCAATTGCTGTATAACATGCTTGCAACCTGTGCTTGTCTGCTCCTGAACCAGAAATCATCAATGGATTTAATCTTTCTGTCTGATATTGCTGAAGAGGTTAAATTGGTACCTGCTTACATACGAGCACACATGTATTTATTTAAAGATCCCTGAGGATCAGGAGGACAACTTAGTGCTGTTCATTTGAATCACTTCTTTCCATCTGATAACAGAAAAGCTGTTTTCCCACAAGTGCTCTGCTATTTTAACGTGCACTGCTATAATTTCATTGCTCTTCAGTTTTTGCAAATATTTCCAAATACTACTTTTTTCATTTAGTATTGAAAAGCCTGTACAACAACTCTGCCATGGTAGAAAACAAGGTGGGGGGGAGCAAAAGTAATAAATAACAGAGAACAAGTCCTTTAAATTGCCTTAAGACTCTGATACCTAACTGGATTGTAAAAGCTGTCACGTCTTTAGACACTTGGAGTATTTGATTCCAAATAGCTTTTAGATGTATGTTCCTCTGAAAGTTCAGTTTTATTCCTAAACAACTGAGGCAGGCTCTTACTTTGTTATTGAAATGCAGTCTTGGCAGAAGGTGTGTGACTCTTTTTTTTGTACTACTTATGTAGTATTTGGAGGAAGAGTACCGTAAGGGAGCCCGGGAGGATGACCCGATGCCCCCCGTGCAGCCCTATCACTACGGATCCCATTATTCCAACAGCGGAACCGTGCTTCATTTCCTCGTTAGGCTGCCGCCCTTCACTAAAATGTTTTTAGCCTATCAAGGTAAGGCTCCTTTTGCTTGTTCTTGCCTCTCACACCCGGGCCTTGTCCTGGTGACCCAGCGATGCTGTGTGTCGCTCTGGTCAGCACAGTTATCGGTTCCAGGCTGAGTTCAGTAAAACTAAACCTGGTGTGCTTTCACAGTGGAGCCATCCTGAAATTACCAAGCTAGATCACAGGGCTGTATGTTGTGTATTTATACCTTAGCGTATGTAGAATAAAAGCTGCTCTGTGTTTGAGTTGCAGTCCCAAATTCAGTTTGGATTTCTTTACAGACCAAAGTTTTGACATCCCAGACAGAACTTTCCACTCCACCAACACAACCTGGCGCCTCTCTTCGTACGAGTCGATGACTGATGTCAAGGAGCTCATCCCAGAGTTCTTCTACCTTCCTGACTTCCTAGTTAACAGAGAAGGTATGCTGAGAGGATACCAAAACTGTACCCCCAAACCAGCTGTGTGGTTGAACAGGGAACGGTCTGAAACTGAGAACATCTATATCCCTTGACTATGTTAAGTACTATAACTGGCGGAAATCAGGCATGAATTTGTGGGATATGCTAAAAAGCTGTTAGGTAGGGCTTAAAGAAGTTCTTCTCACAATTATGTCAGAAGTGCGAAGGAGTTTCCTGTTGTCTGATACGCACAGCTTGGATGTGTTTGGGGGGCACTTGGTAACGGTGCATCTGTTGATCAGCAGTCACTGTGTTTAGCGGTTAGCTTTCACAGAGCCCGACAAAGACCTTTTTGAAGTTGCTCCCTTGACTGAGTATATTAAGTACTATAACTGGGGGAAATCAGGCATGAATTTGTGGGATATGCTAAAAAGCTGTTAGGTAGGGCTTAAAGAAGTTCTTCTCACAATTATGTCAGAGGTGCGAAGGAGTTTCCTGTTGTCTGATACGCACAGCTTGGATGTGTTTGGGGGCACTTGTTAACGGTGCATCTGTTGATCAGCAGTCACTGTGTTTAGCGGTTAGCTTTCACAGAGCCCGACAAAGACCTTTTTGAAGTTGCTGTCAGTTAAAATGCTGAAACGTTTACTCCTGTTTCTAGGTTTTGATTTTGGAGTACGTCAGAACGGAGACAGAGTTAACCACGTCAATCTTCCACCCTGGGCTCGCAACGACCCTCGTCTGTTCATCCTGATCCACCGGCAGGCATTGGAGTCGGACCACGTGTCCCAGACGATCTGTCACTGGATTGACCTGGTGTTCGGTTATAAGCAGAAAGGCAAGGCCTCTGTCCAGGCTATTAACGTCTTCCACCCTGCAGTGAGTATTTAAGCAGTTCATTGTACTTACAATTAATGGGGGAAGCCTGGTCTGACTTGCCTGGAAAACTTGTGGCATGAATGCCTTGAAGTGTTGAATAAGAAAAGGCTTCAGCTGTTTCAATGCAGAGCAGATGAGATGGCTGTGAGATTCAGTGAATTTGTGTTCATCTTTCCTGCCTTGAGACAGACACGGGGGATGATCAGGCCTGGAGTTCAGACTTTCTGGATGGTTGTGTGCAGTGCCATGCAGGGGTTGTGTCTGTGACCCTGCTCCCATCTCATTTAAAAGCAGCCTTTCATTTGGGCCAGTTGTGCTGCAGCTTTTGATGTGATTAAAACAGTTCAGTTTGCCCTGAGCTCATTATTTGTGTTCTTCCCCTCATACACATCTTTTGTCCCTCTAACGAGCACTTTTCCCTCCAGTACATTTTGCTTCAATTCATTTGATGTAAGGAATTCCAGAGTTTCACTACTTAACTGTACGGCCCGGGTACCTCGGGATGTGTGCTTCAGCTTCCATCCTCACTACCACAGGGCTCGCTCAGCCGGGCAGTCCTGGTTTTGGATGCATTCAAATGCGTTCCACATATTTAGTGTACAGTTATAGCTGGCAGGGCTCATAAAACGGTCATGTTTGGCAGTGGTGACTTCCTCTTCTCAAGCAGCCATCCAAATGCTTTCCTTCCTTTCCCTTTTTCTTGTGCTTAAGCATTGATTTTGTGCTTAAATTTCAATATTGTGTGAGTGTGTTCATTGTTTTTAGAAGTGCAAAGCCAAGGCCTTTGTTAGTGTGACCGAGGAAAAGCGCTTGGTGCAGGGACAAGGAAAAGACAAGAAGAGGAAAGAAAAGAATTTCCACTCTCCTGAAAGACGAAGGTTCTTTCTTCCTACCCCAAAGCAGACCTTTAATGTGTTAATTACAAAGAGGCACAGAAAACAAACCTGCTTCATTTTTTTTGTTTATCCTCAGCAACCCTTTTGTTTTGGCACAGACAAGTAAAAGAAAACCTCTTTGACAGAAACTACTCACCAAATGCACGCAGGAGCAACTCATTGCTCAGTGTTAGTGGTAGTTATGTCGACAGACCCATGGTGACAAGATCACTGCTCCGCGGCTCTTCGGTCAGCACAGCCCTTGTGGGTGGCTTCTGGTCCAAGTCTTGGCCTGAATTTGTGTGCACATGTTGAGAACCCTTTCCCAAAACCAAACTGGACAAGCTCATTCTTGCCCCTCTCCTCTTTTTGTTGTTTTTCCTTCTCTAGACCTATTTTGGGATGGATGTTTCAGCTGTCGAGGATCCTGTGCAGAGGAGAGCCCTTGAAACGATGATCAAGACCTACGGGCAAACGCCGCGGCAGCTGTTCCACGCAGCGCACGTCAGCAGGCCCGGCTCCAGGCTCATCATGGAGGGAGAGCTCCCTGCTGCCATGGGGCTGCTGGTGCAGTTTGCCTTCAGGGAAACCAGGGAGCACACGAAAGAAGTCGTATATCCCGTACGTCGTTTGGATTTGCAGGATGGCTTAATTGACGCTTGTACCCTTGTGTTTACACTTTCCTTCCTAAAACTGCAACTTGTACTGTAAAGAAAATACACAAGATTGGTAAAGTGATAGTGAGAATTACTGTCATGCATTTGTGATATATTTTATGTCAAACTAAGGTCTGAATTTACCTTGGTAATAGTAAATAAGTGTTGAAAAGCATTTCACTTAACTAGTGTTAGGCTTTCAATGATGAATTCTGGCATCTGTGTGCAAACCCATAGCAGGTAAACACATACTGTGCTTTCGTCCTTCCCCAGCTATTTCAGTGTTTGTAGGACAGTTCAACTTACACTTGCTTTCCCTAAAGTCCAGTGAGAAACTGAACCCTTGCATTTAAAGAAATCTGTATTTTTCACCGAACTGTCTGAACTACAAACTTGCTATCTCGCCCTTAAAGGAGTGGGAGCACTCCCTTAATGCTGACAGTTCAGCTGATGGTACGAGAGGGCTTCATGCTTGTCTTTCTGGTGCTTTAAGAACACTTGAGCAGTCCTTACCATGTGATTGCTTACAGGAATGTTAATAGGAATGATTTTCTCTTACTAATGAAATAATTTTCTTAAAACTTCTTACCACCTTATAATTTGGTCTGTGTTTGTGCTTGTTTTAGAGCCCGTTACCGTGGATAAAAGGCTTGAAGTGGGGGGAATACGTTGGTTCCCCGAGCGCCCCGGACCCCGTGGTCTGCTTCAGCCAGCCGCACGGAGAGCGCTTCGGCTCGCTCCAGGCTCTGCCCACTAAAGCCATCTGCGGCTTGTCCCGCAAGTTCTGCCTCCTGATGATCTACAGCAAGGAGCAAGGTAGGGACTTGTGCTTCTCTGCATGCGCAATACAGGCAAAAATGAGCCGTGCAAATTCTAAATGTAACGCTGCTGTTATTCTCCAGCAGGCTTCCCGGATTTAGTAATTTCAGCCATAGATGGGTTTATAAATTCAGTAACAGCGTCCATGTCTGAGATCTTTCCTAGAGGGTGGATTTTACTTGCAATCTTCAAAACCACACGGAGACATCCTGTCATTGAGTTGGTATTTTTCATTGAAGTGACTGAAGCGTGAGGATTTAACTTCAGAACTGTAGCAGATTCAGTCTAAGCACTGAAGCACAGATGACAGGAACATGTGGCAGCAGAAAGGAGAATTAAAGGAACGGGGTTTAGAGGCAGAGAATGAGGAAAGTTGTCAGGAGAGGTGAAGGATCTGCTGCGTTCAGATAAACTCCTTGGGGATTCTTACTGATAATGTACAAACAGGTTCTCACAGAATTCTAGAATGTGTTGGGTTGGAGGGGACCTTTAAAGCTCATCCAGTTCAACCCTGCAGTGAGCAGGGACATTGGTACCAGATCAGGTTCCTAGTAACATACTCACACTCTTGTTTTCTTTATAACATGCACTAGTGAAGGGTTTCTAAAAAAAGGCTTCACATTTAGTTAACAAAAATAAGTAGCTTTCTCCTTGAAGCCATGAACAGTCACTTCTCTGGCTGGGAAGTATTGTCAGCCCCTTCCCCTTTTGTCCACTCCCAAAAGATTCAACATTTCTTCAAAAAACACTTTGTCCAGGTTGCAGACTGTCTTTGGAGAACACTGCATGTTTACCCAATCTCCAAAAACGATGTTTGTGTATAGGACGTTACTGATTAAGCCACAGCCTAACAGAAAATACCTTATTTTGAACTTTTTGGAGGTTTTTTTGCATCCTAGCCTGTGGTGGGACACAGACCTGAGCTTTTCACTGTTAACTGTCGATCTGATCGGCTCTGCGGCTGCGTGTGACCCAGCGTTCTGTGCCTCCCCTAGGTGTGAGGAGCATGCACAGCACCGACATCCAGTGGTCGGCTATCCTGAGCTGGGGCTACGCCGACAACATTCTGCGGCTGAAGAGCAAGCAAAGTGAACCTCCCGTGAACTTCATCCAGAGCTCACAGTTCCATCAGGTAAAGAAAAGAAACTGAGTATCAAAAGATTCTTTAACATTGCTCATGTAAGCGGTGGCCTGACTTGGCAACTGGCGCTCCTGCTTCCATTTTTGCAAAGCCCGTGGTCGATAACCAATCTTACTCCTGGAGTTGAGCATCCAGACACAACTGGAGTTAATCAGTGTGGCTCTCCTAGAGGGAAATGCATCCCTCATTGCTCCAGGGTATCTTGTTCCTGTATAGGTACAGGATCCCTTTTGAATGCATTTGAGTTTTGTAGCTTGTGGAGTATTGGTGTAGATTTATAAAAGCTTAAGTTCTGGGCCAAGAAAAACAAGTACAGGAAAATGCTGTAGATGCCTCACATTAGATGCAGAACTCCACTACAGTTTAGGATTCCTCTGAAAAATGTTGTCTAAAAGACTTTTGGGGAACACTGCATGGTCTGATGTGCTCCAGTGGTTGGTGAGGTTCTACCAGAAAGACTTTAGCTGGTGCTGTGGCTGTAGCTTTTCTTTAGCTTCAGTATCTTTCATGCCTTTTCGTAGGATAACCAGTAAAGAATCACTTGACCAAATGCTACTGCATAACGAAAACAGCAGTTAAAATGTTTTCTACTCTAATTATTTCTGGGCTTTGTCTTTCCAAGGTAACAAGTTGTGCTTGGGTGCCTGACAGTTGTCAGCTCTTCACCGGTAGCAAATCTGGAGTCATCACAGCATACATGAACAGATTCACTAGCAATACGGTAAGTTCCATTGGACAGGGTTTATATTTAGGGGTTTAACTGTATTCACTATTACAGTCGTTTTTTTAAAACAGGAAAAGTGAGAAAAGGGGAACATGTTCTATTCAGGACAATTGCTAAAAAGGCCAAGTGCTTGTTTAGTATTTATTTTGGAAGGATCCTCTGTGACATCTTTAGATAGCTTTACCTCAACATGTTTGTGGGTTTTCCTTAAGCTGTTGTTCACACAGTGCTAGCCTTCAGACAGCCCTCGCCATTGGGGTGGGTAACTGGTCACGCACACAGCTCTGACTGGATTCAGGCTGGGGTTTGGAATTGGAGCTCTGGCAGAATGCAGCTCCCTACATTAAGGAGTAACTTTTTCTGTGAAGGTGACAGAGCCTTTCAGAGCCTGAACTGAATCTGGGGAACGCATTTCCCCAGAGTAAACCACATTTCAAATACAGAAGACGCTCACACTACAGACAGCTGGGATGAAGTCTCAGTGTGTGCAGTAACAACAAAACCTCTTCACTTTGTCATATTCCCCAAAGGGAAAAGCTGTGAGGGGAGAAGGGAGAAAAGCAGCTTGCCTTACTTCATGTATTAGTGGAAGATACTGAGATAACCCTGTGTGGTTATGAGCATGGTATGAAAACAGAACTTGAGATTCATCTTCTGGTTTGGACAGTCTCTGAGCTTCTGTCTGACTTTCTCTAGCAGGAACTTCTGCTCTTCATAGTTTGGACAGAATTCGTGACTTTCTTGACAGGTCCTTTCAGGTGTGTCTACAGGATTACCCATAGCAACAACTAAACTAAACCAATACCTCAAATTTAGGGTGATAACAGATGCAGGTATTGGCAAACACATTTGTAGTGTACTCCTTGATGCTCCTGAATCACTGCAGGAACGTGGGCTGGAGGGACCCTTGGTGTGATCTGCCATGCCGACACAGATTCCTGTTTCCAGCAGTGGCAAACAGCAGGTGCTTAGACTGGGAAGAGCACAGACACACAGGGATTTCTCGCTTGGTTTTATCCCTTTGTTTTCTCCCAGTTCTGGTGATCTGCCACTTGCACTTCCTGAGCTCAGCAGCACGTTGAGCTTAAAGAAAATGAAGCAGACCTTGGAGCCTGCAAAGCTTCAATCAGTTGGATCTTAAGTCAGGCACCTTCACTGCTCACCAGAATAGTGAGCTTGTAAATAAAAAGTGCTGAGACTTGGATTCCAGTTAACGTTTTGTGAGGTACTAAAATAATCCGATATACTTGCCTTCTGCAGTGCTAAAAACAAACTGGTAGCGGGGTTGTGGTTCCTAAGCTCCCTGCATTTCCAAATTCCTCAGCACTGACAGTTTTCCATGCCCCAGGCGGGCTGACCTTGTGCCAATGCTGTGGCTCCCGTGGTTGAGTCGGTTCCCCAAGCCAAGGCTGCAGGGAATGCAAATGCGCTTCCTCGCATCTGTTCTGTGTGCACCTCGTCAGCTGTTCGGTGACAAAGCGAGCAGTCTGTCAGAATGCAGTGTTTGAAATGTGGATGGTTTGCCCTGTGTCACATTTACATAAATTCAGTGCATAGGCACAAAACACACATCACGTTGTTAATTGATATGGGAATGCAGAAATACCTCGGTCTCGTACTGCAGATGCTCTGTTTTTTCCAAGCCTTTAAGATGGCCAAAAACCTAACAAACTATTGCTTTGAATCTGTGCCCTATCTTTACAATCAGTCACACCATCATGAAAACAGTCGGGGTTTTCTGGTTGTCCAAATTACTTAAGCCTTCCCTTGCTGACTGTCAGAGTTGTCTGGCAAACAGAAAGGGAGCACTTTAATGATCTGTCTGAGTGAAACTGGGTGCTGATCATTTGAATTCTCCACTCGAGTGCCAAGGGCGATCATTTGGGGTAACCAGCAGAAAAAGCTGCTGTTTAAATGTAGATACAGACCTGTGTGCTTTTCCACATTTAGATATTGTGGTTGTTACCTAAAAGAAAGTAGGAGGTGAAGGGATGGCATTTTGGGCATGAGGTAATTATTTCATAACTACTTAGCCCTTAATACAGCTGCTGCAAAAATTCCAGCTTGCTTCATTACAATATTATTACAGTAACACAGCGAAGAATCTATAAACCATTGCTATTATTGCTATAGAGAAGCTGCTAAAGGTGAATTCTGCTTTCAATTCCGGTGTTGAAATGCAGATCAACAGCAAACACTTAAAGGAGATAGGAGGAGCACAGTAAAAGGGTTATCAAAATCAGTTCTTCGGGAAAATAACAAGTCTTGATGCAGCTATGGAATAATGAGGTATAACTTCTTTTTCTCTAAACCGGGCAAGGATTAATGAAGATCTGTGTATGTGAGACACCACACTGTTCTGAGAGCTGCAACTGCGTGCTTCCCCAGGTCTGCTGTGCTGGGATGAGACGCTCGGAAGCAAGAGCAGAATAGCAAGTCTTCCTGTTGCCAAAGTGCATTGGCTTTTACAGCGTGACACAGATCATGTTGTCCCTTTTAGTGCAGAAAGACATCTCAGTTTTCCACAAACGAAGAGTTAAGCAATATGTATATTTTTATTTTCTGTTTCTACTTCCAAGCTTTGTTGTAGCCTGCTCTAGGGATCCTGTGCTAATAGCAGTCCATGTGCTCTGACGCCTGAGGAAACAAGCAGGACAAAGTTCCTTTCTTTTGCAGATTAATCTCTGTACAGCAAGTTGCCTTAATTAATTAAAGCATCAGTATTCCGATTAAGCACCTTCTTCAACTCTAGCCAGTTTTCAGGAAGTCTGAATCATTTAAAATGGCATCACTTGAATGAGAAGCGTTAGTTGGTGTTAAATTTGCTGCTTTAATTTTTATCTAGCAGTTTCTGTATTTAAACTTGACTTCCTGCGTATTTTTCCAACTCGGTATTGCTGAAGGACTTGGCACCAACTCGAGGAATTCCCAGTCATTTTCTGTGCACAGTCACTGCTCAGCTGGGTTCTCCCAAGTGCTTCCCCCAGATGCTGCAATACTGGGGGCTGTCGTTTTGCTGCCATGTGGAAGTAGCGGTCTTGCAGAAAAGAGATTGGCTGCTTTTAGGATCTGTGATGGAGACAGAAGTACAAGAGTTCTTCATGTCGGCTCCCTGGGCCCTTTCAAAAAATTTCTTACACTAAAGCACTGAAACAAGGAGTTGAACATTAATGATATATATTGATATAATAAAGCATTAATGATGTTGCTAAACTGCTGACATTAAAAGCAATTTTCTGAAATCTAAGAATTAAACTTGTCCCTAGGCTCATCCTTTTCAGAGAAAAAGACATTAATTTTCTTTTTTAATGAGTTCGTGTTTTATTTTGCTGTTTTTCAGCCTTCAGAGATAGAAATGGAGTCGCAGGTCCACCTGTATGGCCACACAGCAGAGATAACAAGCCTGTTTGTGTGCAAACCATACAGCATAATGATCAGTGTCAGCAAAGATGGAACCTGCATCGTGTGGGACTTGAACAGGTACAATTATATCTAACTTTTTGGAATTCCTTTCTTTTAAATACCTGTCCTCCAACTTTTGGGTAGCTTTACCCTTTTAAAGGTAAAGGAATTTGTTTTGTGGATGCCTTAATGTGAAGTCAAACCCTTACTGTTTTTTTTGTCCCCATGAAAGTGACTGAAATTCTGGAATGAATATGAAAAATGCTATCATCATGCATAATACTGATTGAAATTGATATAACTAAAAATTAATATATAAAATAT